GTTCTGATCAATGAATAAGCCACAACAACAGCCTTGGCAAATTCGAACAAAAGACAATCTGTGGTCTTCATTTGGAAGATTTTTCTTGGTGAGAGTGTTAACTATGAAGAGAGAAAGAATGGATTTTGAATTTCATGGATTTTGGTATTTAAACAAAACATGACACAGAGCTTATTTAATATAATATTTATTACATTTCCAAAATATTGACATCATTCTACATATTTGCCGAATCAATATTGTAATAAATAGATTTCGTGTATGTAGATAATACAAATATCTTTTAAAATGCATTCATTTAAACATTTATAGAATATATATATTATAATATCACTTTATTTATCATTATATATTATATACAACTCAGAAAAAAAGTTTAAAAGGCGAAAAGTATTTAATATCGCCGGTCGTCTATTTTTTTTTTTTTTTAAGGAGACAGAGGCAATTTTGATCACACTTAGTTATCTTGCGTGTCTTCAATAAAGGTCACGTTGTATCAAATATATTTCAGAGTTATTGTCTGTATCTCAATATGCATGCTAAAAGGTATAACTTACTTATGTTTTGTCCATATATGTGTGTAGATTATTAAATAAATATATTTTTTTTTAAATATAGACGCATTTGTTTTACTTTTTATACAAATAATAAGGTATACTTTCTCGAGTGTGTTCATTTGTTTGATTTTATTGAAGATTAATCCAAAGAAAGCTAAAATATAATGATCCGGTATGTTTTCTGTTGATACATTTTTACACCGACGTGTATTATAAAAGTATTTAAGATAGATTATTTATATATGGATCAAAATAGCGCTCCATCTGTAATAAATATTTTAGAATATTTTGAAATTATTTTTCTTTTGAAATAAAAAGCCAATTCATATTGTCTTTCTCTCAATGAGAAAAATATTAGGAGGGCCTGACGCATCAGTAGGTGATCCCTTATTAATATTTTTCTAACCGCATTAAAGTAAGGCAGTAAGAATTGTTCTTTTGATTATGACAATTTGAATAGTTTATATATTGCGATTTTAACAAGATATTCTGGCAAAACATAGCAGTTTTATAGCAATGATCTTATTAACATAGCTGTTATAATTAAATGGCTATATTTAGTTACTCTGTCGTTAAGTGAATGATAAGTATTATGATAACATTTTGAAAATAAGCAATGCTATATTTTCAACGTAAGCGTTATTTTTTGTAAATGCATTCACAATTATATTAAAAGATGAATTCATAGCTAAATCAATCAATATTTTCGACTCTACTTAATGACTTATTTTTAATGCGAAAGTATTTATTGTTCATGGAATTTAAAAACCACTTCAACTTTTTCCAGAAATTTGTATACAGAAATTAGACAAATATATATGTATATATGTTATATAAAAATTGTATTTAATTTTAAAATTATTATTACCAGATCAAATTACTCTGTTATATTTACCAACAGATGTCGCCGCTTTTCCTATATAAATCTTTTGTTGTTGTTTCCCGATGGCCTTTTATTTTGGTTAGCAGCCCCGTAAATAAAGATATTTCCTTTCACGATGGCCGGCTCGAATATTTTTGTAGATATGTAAATAAGTCTTTCTTTTTCTTTATTCTTACGCCTTAAATCAAACAGTACTTTTCTCAATTTATGTTTTAAATATTTCATAAGTTAAATTGAATCAATATTGATACAAAATATTTTATTGTATTTTCTAAGATGATGTCCACCACTACAATAACATGAAATGTTCATATATATATTTTTTAAAATAATATCAACAATACCATAATACTAATGTACAACCTTATCTCAACAATTCCAAAATCAGCAGAATCATTTTCATAATATATATACGGGTAAAATATCTGTTCTACAATCACTTTAAGTTTTGATAAACACTTGTGAATAGGTGAATATATATCTGACCTTCAACACATACATCTAAAATCGGAATGCGAAACTTCACGTTTTTATATATTTTGGGAATTTATGATTTCAAAAAATAATATTGAAGAGATTTGATATTCATTTTAATATTATATATTATATTTAAAATAGGCATATCCTGACCACGAGCACATGAGCTTTTTAGTTGGCAGAGTGCCATCTAATGGGACAGAAATCAACTAAACATTGATTTAGCCTGTTCCTTAATATTTGGACAACCCATTTTCTTTGAAAATCAAGAAAAGTGTTCGTGGTTGATTTTTCTTGATTAATCACAAGGCTAAAGGGGAGGGAACAGGCTAAATCAACGTTTAGTTGATTTCTGATCCACCAGATGGCGCTCTGCCATCTAAAAAGCTCATGTGCTCGTGGTCAGGATATGCCATTTTTGATGATATTCTCTATTTATATTTTTTTTCTGATAGATGAAAATAAATTAGGTTTATTTATAATACCCCCCTCTAATTGTGTAATTTTAATAAATATATATGAGAACCTATGAACGGCATTTTAGGCCAAGAAAAGAGCTAAGAATTAAAATTATAAGCCTAAAAAATATTTTTTCATAGTCAAATTTTAAATAAAGATTCAGACAAAATAGAGTAATACATGTTTCCAATTGATAATTGAAAGAATAAAATATTTAATGAAAAATGGCACTTTTAAACTAAATTAGACTATTATAAAACTATTTTAGAGGCGTAATATTTTTTTTTTTTAATAAAACAATTTCTGAATATTACGCCTCTAAAATAGTTTTATAATTTGATAACAGATGGCGCGCTAGTGCATCGTAACATAAATTAGACTATAACAACATAAACTATAATTGGTGTTCAGACAAGAAGGTATATAAATAAATATAAATCTCTATAACACTATATATAAAATAACAGAACTATGTTACATGACTAGACTCTATATATCCTCCAAGTATCATCATTGCATAGATAGAATTAAAATGAGAAGTGATGGATACAATCATGTTGTCTTGAGTTGGAGATCGAAGGCTTCTGGAGGGCAGAGGTTGTTCATCTTACATTCTCTGCTACCGTCTGCAACATTCAAAGTTAAGTACCTTCTTATATTACACCTCTTTACAGTAATAAATTGTTTTTTATTTGCTTATCCTTAGTACACGTGGTACAGGCCATGATATTCATGGTCGGGTAGTTAGCGACTGATGTTACTGTAAGTGCACCACATATCTACACATACACTAATCTCTAAGTACATGTGGTACAGGCCATTATATCATGGTGGGTAGAATTTGGCGACTGCTCTTACTGTAAGTGCACCACATGTCTATACATCACTTATCCCTAGTACACGTAGTACAAGCCATGATAATCATGGTGGGTAGTTAGCGACTGTTTTTACTGTAAGTGCACCACATGTCTAGACATACACTTATCCCTGGTACACGTGGTACAGGCCATGGTAATCATGGTGGGTAGTTAGCAAAGGCTTTTACTGTAAGTGCACCACATGTCTACACATACACTTTTCCCTAGTACACGTGGTACAGGCCATGGTAATCATAGTGGGTAGAAGTTGGCGACTGCTTTTACTGTAAGTGCACCACATGTCTATACATAACTTATCCCTAGTACACGTAGTACAAGCCATGATAATCATAGTGGGTAGTTATCGACTGCTTTTACTGTAAGTGCACCACATTTTTACACATACACTTATCCCTAATATACGTTGTAAAGGTCATGATAATCATGGTGGGTAGTTATCGACGGCCTTTACTGTAAGTGCACTACATGTCTACACATAGACTTATCCCTAGTACACATGGTACAAGCATGATAATCATGGTGGGTAGTTAGCGACTGATTTTACTGTAAGTGTACCACATGTTTACACATGTAAAAAGCGTTCGAATTTTGAATTTACAAATGTGCCAGAGCCCCGTTTGGTTACTTGCACTCGCTGGCGGAGTTGAACTTTTACAAGAATCGGGGCCATTTAGACCAACCTTCCACCGACCCTCAGAAATAAGGTGTGATTGATATAAGGTGAGGAATGCGAAGACTTAGAAGGCGGCTGATTCAACACTAGCTTTTTCAGTGACACGCTAACTTTGACGCATGCACGAAGGAACGTGTGGCCACTGGACATGCGTCGGACCTGGAGGCTGTTGTTGGGTGCTGCGCTGCCTGGAGTACAGGAGCTCCATCTATGCTTCCTTTCTTTCTGTGGTGAATCTGTATAAGACCTGTGGTCTTATTGAAGCTGTGCGGGTATAAATTATTGATATCATTCAGCTCGAATTTTTTCATAAATGGCTCTAATGTCTTCTGCTAGATTGATATCTGCATTTTGAATTTATATTTTTATTTATTTAGGACATCAACTAGCTTTCGAGAGCTATCGACAATTAATGTAAAGTGCTTAAGCAAGTTAAAGACATAAGAATGATAAATGTATAAATATGAAAATGCCTAATATTTAACTAAACTAGTGTAAAAGGCATCACTTCAAAATTCCATGCTTATAAAATTCTTTGAGTTTCAGAACGTGGCAATTTCTTTTTCTGCAGCTTTCATATCAGTGACCTATTATAAAATTACGTCTCTTCAGTTTTATCAAAGGTTCAAAGGCCAAAAATATATATTTTTTAACGAAAGGTCTGGACTGTATTGAGGTTGGTTCAAAACCTCCCATTACATCCAATGAAGTACAGTATTAAAGGCCTCGGCAATATGAAATTGGGTCTTATCATCATACGGCTGACTTCCAGTGAAAACAGCCCAGGTCTCCTGTTATTTATTTTCACACGGAGATGTTGCAGGTGTATCTCTTAGTCATGATGTAATAAGACCAAATCCAGATAAATAAATAGCGTGAGACGTTTCGGTAACAGCGTTGTTACCATCCTCAGCCGAAAGTATTAAATGAGAAATTAGAGAGAATATTGTGTTACGGGCTATTAATCAAAGTGTATGAAAAAAAAAGCTCAATGCAGGATTCGAACCAGGGTCTTGACAGTCTGAAATCGAAGGTTTATACCACTCGACTACCAACCCGCAAAAAAAAAAAAGTCCCTCGAGCCGGATTTGAACCAGTGACCAAAGGATCACGGTGAATACATCTACAGTCCTCCGCTCTTCCAACTGATCTATCGAAGGTTAAAAAGATGTTCCCGCTTGGGATCGAACCGACCTTGTGGGTGTGAAGCACACGTGATAACCGCTACAATGAGAAATTATACCACAGTATGTTTTAAATAGTTACTGTTATCAAGGCCTGTTAACAAGATAGCAGATAAGAAGATAATTTTCTAAGAACCCTAAAAGGTGGTATTATTTATCATTCAGTACTTTTGTCTGAAGATGGTAACCATGCTGTTACAGAAACGTCCAACACTATTTATTTATTTATTTGGATTTAGCGTAATACCTTGTGTTTATAATCTATAATTGTACCTTATCATGCATCTCTTAGTGTTAATTGTGGCTTACGGAAATCAAATACAATGTCGAAATATCTTTAAAAATAAAGAACACAGTTTCTAAAATGTTTAGAGAAGACAAAAAGTAACTATATTTCTTCGATGATTCTCCACCAGAAGCTAACCACTAGCATTTGGCAGCAAATTTTGCTCAAAGCAACACTCTTGTCGGTGACATGTGCTGCTCTATGCGGATTATTAAACTACGAAAATTGTATTTATGTTCTTGATAGATTCTTGTTCGTGTTTGGACGTCTCGGTTGCTCAAGCTTACGAGTTTCACTGCGCTCTTCTCTATAACGTAGCAAACTTTTTTTTCAATGCTCCAGTGGCCTCTGATTCTTGCAAAAAAAAAATTCTACTAAGCCTCTATTTTGGATAGAGAAAATGTACAATCATGGACAAACCTTAAGGAAGTTGAAAGTCGTTGATGTCACTGGCCATCTATTTTTTTCTTCTTTTTGAAGGAGACAGAGGCAACTTTTTGTTCACACTTGGTTATCCCATGTGCCTTCAATAAAGTACACTGTAATATCTTTCAGGGTTATTGTCTGAATATCGATATACATGCTAAAAAGTTCAGTCCATGATGTGTATATCATATAAAAAAGAACCCAGAAAACTTGTTTTGTGTGTTTGAATGTGACTAATTTAATTTAATGCTATGTTAATTATTTTATTTAGATTTATGGAGATATTTTTGACCATCTTCTACGAAATTAAGCACAAAATTTTGATATATACAACTCTAAGATGAGGGTGCTTGACCGGCATTCATAGTTCTTCAAATTAAAGATACTTCGGCCATTAAATCTTTACTGTAAAGGATTTACTGGCCGAAGTATCTTTAATTTGAAGAATCTAATAGTATAGTGTGTGTGGATAAGAGACTATATATATACGTTTTTCCTCATAGCAAATATTATTGTTAGGTTTTATTTTTTTTTATTATTATTATTGTATTTTATTAATTAATTATAATTCATATTCATAGAATTTTATTGTAACTTATCATCATTCTTTTTGTTGTTTTTTCTTCTTCTGTTTTCTTTTGTGTTATAAATACAACTAAATCGCATTAAATCGTAGTGTAATTCTCTTTTGTTGTGTGAAATAAATCGAATTGAATCGAATTGAGTCAGCTCGTTCTTTCTAGTAGAAACTTCAAAGAAAACGTGCTAACAATTATACTAGGGATGAATTCTATTTCTATTATCTTATTAATACTAATAAATTCAATTTTTTATAAGATTATTTTTGCTATATAACTCAGTTTTATTCCATAAGAAATGATGCACATGTTTTGACTTCTAACACCTACAAATTTGAATAAAGTGACTTGAAACACGCATCCTAATAACGATTTAAAGAATATTTCTCTACCTCAACCAAATACTTCAATTTCACGACTTTTCGAATATTCTCTGCCGCCATTATTGATTGTTATTATGTTTATTGCTTTGAGTGATGCCGAAAGATTAGGAAATATTTAGTTAAGAGTTTTTGAGATATTAAATTCATATATTCTCTTAAATATCGGCATATAGAGACGATGTACTAGCACACACTGAAATTCTTTATGGGTTTGTTGTAGATTAGTTGCTTCTGGGAGAGAAATATAGTAAATTAGAATAAATGGTAGAGTGTATGTAGAAAATGGTGTCTTAGTAGGGGGGTATAGTGTAGACATGTGGTGCACTTCAGTAAAGGGAGTCGCCTACTTCTACCCACCATGATTACCATGGCCTGTACCATGTGTACAAAGGATAAGAAAAAAGTGATTTCGCTTCTGAAAGAGAAATATAGTAAATAGTAAATAAGAACAAATGGTAGAGTATATGTAGAAAATGGTGTCTTAGTAGGGGGGTATAGTGTAGACATGTTGGTTCACTTACAGTAAAGGCAGTCGCCTACTTCTAAACACCATGATTATCATGACCTGTACCACGCTTACTAGGGATAAGCAAAAAAAAAAGTGTTATTGGCTCCTACCGTTTAGGATGAGCGCCGGTACTGCGTGAGGTGGAGACGGCGCTGCGATGGTGGAGGACGTCTGGACGAAGCTGGTATTGCGGCTGTGATAGTACATCACATTCTCCTTCGTATTCTTCTCAGGTTTCAGCAGTGCCACGTATACCTTAGGAAAGAAGAGACAAGCAATCTGCACGGCTCCACTCAGACTCAACAGAAAGCTCAGTGTAACTGCACGAATAGCATTGCTAGTGCTCAGCACAAAAAGAGGTAGAAACGCAAGCCAGATCACGCACGTCGTGTAGTTGGTGAAAGTCAGGTAGCGCGCCTCGTTGAAGCCTTCTGGGCACTTACGCGTCTTGAAGGCGTAGACCGTGCAGAAGCCTATCAGAATCAAGGGGTAGATGAGTCCTATGAGGTAGGATGCCGTGTCAGATCCCAGGCAAATGAGAACGTTTTCTTCGCGAGTTGGATAGATGTGAGCGACCGCTGGCCTGTCATACATCAACCATACTCCGTTGATGATCAACTCCACCGAAACAAGCATCGCCGTGATGATGAGTTGAGAACGCGGACTCGTGTATTTGGGCTTTTGGCAGTTCTGACGATGGTTGAATATCCTCGAAATTCTATTCGTTTTGGTGACAATTGCGGAGTAACATAGGGTATAACAGAAGCCCAAGAAAAATCGCGTGATGCCACATGTCCAAGCAGTCGGCTTGGCTACGATACAGAATGTCATTCCGAAAGATAGGAATATACCGAAGAGAAGCAGACAACTTAGTTCCCTACCAGCAGCCTTGATAATGGGCGTGTGGGAATAAGCCCAGAACACAAACGCGATGAATACTGTGGTAACGATTCCCAATCCAGAAAAAACCATGGTGCCTATGGCCCATGGACTACGGTAACTAAGGTATTCTTCTGGAATAGGGATGCATGTTGTCTTCGGCTTGCTGGGCAGACTTCCAAGTGGACAGTCGCGGCAGTGATAGTCGTCCTCCAGGAACTGGTAGGTGGAGCAGTTGGTACAGAGCCAACAGCACGTGTCTCCCTCCAGCTGCAGCTTGGCCTGCCCAGCTTTACACGGCTCGCTACAGAAGGACCGCGGGAAGGATGGATTGTCCTGCTTGAACCGCATAGCTGGGATGTCCATTTCTAGCTTTGCCTCACCATCACCCCCTGGAATACACTTTCTCTCTTGATACACATTCCTATAAATAACTTAAAACAGGCTAGCTAATACACATTAGAATTGTTTTATAGCTCCATATAATTTATTTAACAAGTTTTATAAAAAAAATTACATTTCAGTTAAATTTCTACATGATAGAATAATACCAATTAAGTTTATTCATAGTATATCGAACAAAACGTATACGTTTGTGTTTTCACTTATCCAGTCTATAAACATAAAATGTATCATGATTCAATAGATAGACACTTCGGCCAGTTAAAGTTTTTATTTTCTCAACGTTTCAACAAAATTCTTTGTTGAAAATCGCGTGAGAACGCACTTGCAACTTCAGAACAATTTTTAGCGCCTTGCCAAATGCTTTATTTTTATTTATTTCTCTTGACGAAGACAGAAGCTTTTTGTTGAAACGTTGAGAAAATAAAAAACTTTAACTGGCCGAAGTGTCTATTTTTAATAGAAATATGAATGCCGGCCAGGCAACCTCTATCTTCAGGATTCAATAGATGATAAGTATAGACAAATTAGTTATAAAAACATCTCTATATTAACACATTCACAATTTGCATTCAAATTAAAGCGTTATAAACTTCCCCTATCCATCAAAAGAGCTGAAATCAATATACATTCAGGAAAGTATTCAATGCCAATATTAACAAAAAAAAGATTATTTAAAGGTTTAATTTCACTTTTTATCATAAAACCCTTATATATATATAGGCAATGTTGGAAAAAAAAGAATAGTAAATCAATGATCTTGAAATACTTTTAGACTGACAACACTGTAATATAAAAACCAGAACAAAGGAGTGTTGGTTTTGTTTTACAAAATTAGCAATTGTAATGTAAATTGTTAAATGTTCTTTTCTCTTTCTCTCTTTGAAAATAATAAATTTAAAATACTTTCTTAAAAGGTAAAATTGCCTAATTCTTTAAACCACTTCAGCTGTAAGTAAACTTGTTATTTGTTGTTTCATTGTCTGAACCATAAGAGATTCCCAACATGGTAGCAGAGGTCCGTGGTTTTTTTTGAATCGCGGTAAAATATATATATAAAATATAAATAAAAACAAAAATGGCTGTCAGCGAAGATATCGCAAATATTGTGAGGCTTAAAAATCCTGAAAATTTTGATTTATGGAATTTTCAGAAAACAATTATTTTCAAAGCAAATGGCCTTCTAGATATTGTAAATGGAAAATCGTTGTTTGAAGACTTGAAAGATGAAACTGGAAAAGATAAATGGAGCCTAAAAGACGCCAAAGCACAAAAATACATAATGTTAACCATTGAAAAGAATGTTTTAACACACATTCTAAATTGCAAAACTTCAAAAGAAATGTATGAAAAACTAGTAGCCATTTATCAAAGAGAAGATGAGCAATTAAAATGCAAATTACTACAAGAATTTTATGGATTCAAATTTGACAAAAATACAGATATGGCAACAAATATAAGCAGAATGCAAATTTTAGTATTCAAACTAAATAATGTGAAAACAAAAAATTGAG